CATTTGTTGATACGAGTGAGAGAGATAGACAGAGAGAGAGAGAAAGAAAGAGAGATAGAGAGAGAGGGAAGCAGGGGGCCTACCAGAGAGAGAGAGAGAGAGAGAGAGAGAGAGAGAAGAAACTGGTTCCGTAGATCTCGGTGGAGAATGAATGGCCAGATAATCGAAAAAACCTTTCCCATACTTGAAAGGAAGAGCACCACCATATCCGACCCCCGCAGCGTTCCCTCACAAGACTACAGGTCGTGCAACGAGGCCCTCTAAACCCGCTTTCCCCGTAGACGACATTCCCCATAAGGAAACGGGCCGCTAAACGACAAAAGACATCCATGTATACGCAGCCATCCTGGCTGGGAACAGTACAGTAGTGGAGCGAGGCACTATGCCCCAAGTTCACTACCTGCTACCCGGGGCCATTCCAGACCCACGTGTTTCCGCCCTTTCGTTTTGAAATCAAACTTGCCCACCGATGAAAACGGCGGCGGAGTCGCTTTCTCCGGGCGGCCAGTGGCGATGGTCTGCGCACAGGAGCCAATAGGTCAGCGAGACAGAGAGGGAGGGGTGGGGAGAGGGAGAGGGAGAGGGAGTGGTGGGGAGAGCGAGAGGGAGTGGTGGGGAGAGGGAGAGGGATAGGGAGTGCGAATTGAGAATGAGAGAGCGGACCAGGCTCCACACTCGTCGCGCTCATTCTCGCCGGGCGTCAACAGCCTGTGACACAGAGAGTGAGGGGCGGGAGAGAGAGCAGGGAGGAAGATAGAGGAGGGTAAACAGTGAGAAGAGCAGAGGCAAGAGTGAGAAGGAAGAGAGCCCGGGAGGAGGAGGAGGAGGGGAAAGGGAGGAGAGGAAAGGTGATGGCGCTGAATATGGAGCAGAATGCGGCCGATGGCTGGGCGGCGACGGATGGCGTGATCGCGCGTAAATTGTTCAGTCAAGGCTATTCCTTCACATATGATGATCTCATCTTCCACCCTGGCCATATCTCGTTCGCGGCCGATGACGTGGACCTCCGTGGGCGGGTCTCGAGACGGATTAGTCTCCGTGTTCCTCTTGTGAGCTCTCCCATGGACACTGTCACTGAGGGCACGATGGCGGCGGCTATGGCTGCGCTCGGCGGGATCGGGTTCATCCATTACAATAATCGACCGGAAGAGCAAGCTGCGCAGGTAGTGCGCGCCAAGCGGATTCGTCCTGGCTTTGTCGTTGATCCCGTGGTATTCGGTCCCCGCGCTACTATCAAGGACTTAGATAGATTGAAAGAGACGCGAGGGTTTTCGAGCGTCTGTGTGACGGAGGATGGGAGAGTAGGGTCCAAACTCCTTGGAGTCGTGACGAGTCGGGATACCGACTTTGTCCCCGACCGAAGTACGGAACTGAGTGACGTGATGACCTCTGACGTGATCACCGTCCCGTCTAAGTGCTCGAGAGAAGAAGCGGAGAAGATTCTTATACAAAGCAAGAAAGGCAGGCTGCCCGTCGTCTCATCAAACGGAGGTAAGCCTTGAATGGTCCAAGCTTTTGTAGCGCTTGATTTTTATCGCTTGATTAGCGCTTGATTAGCGCTTGATGAGCGCTTGATGAGCGCTTGATTAGCGCTTGATTAGAGCTTGATTAGCGCTTGATTAGCGCTTTATTACCGTCGTTAATGAGCTACTAGCTTGAGGACCGGCGTCGTTAATGAGCTTGATTGATTGATGAAGGCGTCATTGATGAGCTTGAGTGATGAAGGCGACGTTAATGAGCTTGATTGATGAAGGCGTCGTTAAACCACCAGTACGGGGGCACCCCCCCCTGAGGCTGCGGGTCTGACACCGGCGCAAGTTTCGGAGGGGGACCGAAATGCGCGCGCCGGCCATTGGGCCTCGCTCCACTACTCTCCACATGCAGAAAAGATAAAATATGGCGGTGCATCTTTCCATGTTCTAGCGAAAGATTCACTCTCATTTTGCACATTTCGATAGTAGTTGAGTGAGGCCCCATTGATGAGTTTTACTTATCGACGGCGCGCGCCGGCCATTAATGATTGTTGCGGCGCTACAGTGCGGCGGGGAGGGAATGTTTTCTCCATGGCTGGGGGCGTGTACTGGTGGTTTAGCGGGCCTGATGTGCGCGTCGGCAACGAGGTTGATGACCGTCGTTAATGATCTTTGTGGACTTGATTGATTAGCGTCGTGAATGCGCTTGATTAGCGTCGTGAATGCGCTTGATTAGCGTCGTGAATGCGCTTGATTAGCGTCGTGAATGCGCTCGATTAGCGTCGTGAATGCGCTTGATTAGCGTCGTGAATGAGCTTGATTAGCGTCGTGAATGTTGCTTGATGAGAGGTTAATAATCTTGATTGGCGGTCGTTAATAAGGTCTATGAGCGCGTCGGTAACGATCTTGATGACCATCGTTGATTGGCTTAATGAGAGGTCGTTAATGAGATTGATTAGCGCCCAAGCTATAGAGCTTGATTAGTGTCATTGATTAGCATTGATGACCCGCGTCGCGAATGAGCTTGATTGATAGCGTCGTTAATGTGCTTGATGGCCAGCGTCGTTAATGAGCTTGATGAGCGCATCGTTAATGGACTTGATGAGCGCATTGTTAATGATATCGATGACCGTTGTTGATGAGCTTGATTAATGTCATTAATGAGCTTAATGGGCTTGATGAGAGAGCTTGATGAGCGCGTCGTTAAGGAGCTTGATGACCGTCGTTAATTGACTTGTTGAGGGGTCGTTAATGAGATTGATTAGCGTCTTGAATGAGCTTGATGAGCGCGTCGTCAATGAGGTTGATGAGAGGTTGATGAGTTTTGATTTGGTTGCTAATGGTATGTGCTTATCGGGGAAGCAGCAGCAAGACTATGTATGTGGGCAGAATGAAAACTATATGAGATTGATGAGGTAGGAGCAAGAGAATGGTAAAAAACATGTGGAGGATTGTGGCGGGAACTGATCAGGGCTGCCATTGTGGGTGATCGTGCTGTTCTCTGCTGGCGCACGCAAAGACATGAAGATGGATGGACAGATGGATTGCATTGATAGCCATGCGCATGTAAATTAATCGAGGAAGAGCGATGGGTGGATGGATGATGCGTAGGCGGATGGGTGCATTGGATAGGTGGATGATGCGTAGGTGGATGGGTGCATTGGATAGGTGGATGATGGGTAGATGGAGGGATGCATGGATGGATGATGGGTAGATGGAGGGATGCATGGATGGATGATGGGTAGATGGAGGGATGCATGGATGGATGGATGATGGGTAGATGGAGGGATGTAGGGATGATGGGTAGATGGAGGGATGCATGGACGGATGATGGGTAGATGGAGGGATGGAGGGATGGAGGGATGGATGATGGGTAGATGGAGGGATGGAGGGATGGAKGGATGGATGATGGGTAGATGGAGGGATGGAGGGATGGAKGGATGGATGATGGGTAGATGGAGGGATGGAGGGATGGATGGATGGATGATGGGTAGATGGAGGGATGGAGGGATGATGGGTAGATGGAGGGATGGAGGGATGATGGGTAGATGGAGGGATGGATGATGGGTAGATGGAGGGATGGCTGGATGATGTATAGATGCTGGATGGATGGATGGTCGAGTTTTCGTAATGGAGAGAGAGAGAGAGAGACTCTCTCTACCCATCATCCATCCATCCATCCCTCCATCTACCCATCATCCATCCATGCATCCCTCCATCTACCCATCATCCATCTACCCATCATCCATCTATGCATCCCTCCATCTACCCATCATCCACCTATCCAATGCACCCATCCACCTACGCATCATCCACCTATCCAATGCACTCATCCACCTACGCATCATCCATCCACCCATCGCTCTTCCTCGATCAATTTACCTGCGCATGGCTATCAATGCAATCCATCTGTCCATGAGAGAGAGAGAGAGAGAGAGAGAGAGAGAGAGAGAGAGAGAGAGAGAGAGAGAGAGAGAGAGAGAGAGAGAGA